TATTGAAATTGTTGTTTCTGGCTTATTGTATGAATCATTGATTTTGAATATTGATCTGATAAAATAAAGTCTTTGTTAAAAAAAAAAATAATTTATTGCGTTTTTTAGGCTTTAACAAACTCATAAAACCTCACCAATTTTAGCAGGACCGGTAGAAAAAGTATGTGAATTGAAGCAAAGGCTGTCAGCTGGATATCAGTGCTGTACGTCCAATTGTTCTGTCAGAGGGGCCTACTATGTCCAGCAGTTTATGGGCATAAGGCAGGGTCCACACAGGTTTTCTTGTCTGTTGCAGGGTAACACAGAGACACACAACCATGCACACACTCCTAAGGACAATATAGAGAAGCCATTACCCTAATAGTCATGTTTATGGAGTGTGGGAGGAAGCCGGAGTTCCTGGAGAAAACCCACGCATGCACGGGAAGAACAGGATAACTGCATTCAGAAAGAATCGTCCTGTTGCAAGGCAACAGTGCTACAAACTGCAGCACCGTGAAGCCCACTAAAATTAGGTGCACTATTGTAGAACGGTCCGGTCACGTTAGCCGGACCACCAGCTTTCCCTCAATAGCTTTATCCTTCGTTTATTTCCTGATTTTACCCAGTTCCAAGGAATTCACCATGAAGAAAGTGAACGTGCTTCATATTGCATCGCCCACTTTTGTCATTCTATATTCTGTGATTGGTTGGAGTTACAGAAATGTAATGGATATAAATCTTTTCTACTTTATTTGCAGATTAAAAGAAGGGCTCATTAGTGAACACAGAGAAAACAGAAAACTGAAACATTTAATGAACTGGGTTTACAAGATGGTCCAGTCAAAGCCACATGTAGCAGATTCCTGTTTCATTGAAATTGTGTGAAAATTAAATGTACACTATATTTCCAAAATTATTTTTCCACTCATCCCAATTATTTGAATTATTTTAACTGTAAAATTCATTAAAAAAATCATGAAAGGGGAAAAAAAAAATCTTTTTTATTTTTTTCTATATTCCATCTTCCTTTAGTCTGAAACCACACTAGCTGTAGCACTACCAAGTGTTAGCCATCTTTTGATACCAAAATTATTAAAAAAAAAACTGATTGGAATCAAATCAGAGAGCGGAAACTTAGTTTGGGGGGAAATGGAGAGATACATAACTGAGAGGATAAAAGTTGTGAGGAAGCAACAAGACTATGAAAGAATTAAAACAATAAAAGCGACGATTAAATCAAAAGGTATGGTTCCTTATTTACAACAGTTAATCACGTCCTTGGAGTGGAGCTTACAGTCAAAGGTGAGGGGAATGCCGTAAAAAAAAATTACAAGCTGCTTTTTCTCATTGTTGATACACAAGCATGAAATGCTGTTTATATTAAGATTAAATTGATTTCTTAAATATTTGACACAAATAGTTTAGCCAGGTTGATTTTTTTTGGCAAATGTATTACCGGTACTTAGGTTTTATGAAAACTCTTTAAACAAAGCATGTGACCTTCAGATTTTAACATTTGACTATGAAAACCTTTTTCCTCTGTTTATGAAGGTTCTTTGTATCGATGAAGCAACAGCCAGTGTGGACCAGAAGACGGACAAACTGCTACAGCAGACAATCAGAGAGAGATTTCAGGACAAGACGGTGCTCACTATAGCCCACAGGTAAGACGTTCTCCATGTATGGCCGCAGGATAGTTTAATTCAGTTTAATTATATAGTTCCAATTCACAACCCATGTCATCTCAAGGCACTTTACAGGTCACCAAATCATCCAGTCAAATTGATTCAAAATTTTCTATCTAAGGAAAACCAGTTGATTACATCGACTCTTTGACTCCCACAGTCCATAAACACGACTGTTATGTTAATTAGCTTCTCTAAATTGTCCTTAGGTGTGAGTGTGTGCGTGAATGCTCTACTTGCATAGTGCATAATTAGGTAATATGCAAACACCAGAGAAAGAGGACATTTACAGCACTGTCTTCTCAAAAACAACTGAGCAGAGTTAAGAGTTAGTTTAAGGAAGTTGTGTCTAACAGGCTTCTTTTTAAAACATCCTAAAGGTTGGTAAGTAGAATGAGGGGTGTGTGTCCACAAGAGGGCAACAGTGCTCTGACGAAAGGCCTTTTATTAGCTTCTGCTTCAGGGCTGATTCACCCTCTTTAATGATGTTGTGCTCAATCAAACTGGACTTTAATTCACTGTCACTCCAGTCCAGTTTAAACAATCTCAGAATAAAAGTAGTTTCTTTAGGAGGGAGCAAAAATAAGTTATTCCACAAACAAAGACCCTCTCTGTATTTTTATTAAAGCTGCTTCCTGCTTCTAAAACAGAGGAATCTGTTTAAAAGAAGACATTATTTATCTCCTTTTAGGGATGAATAAAGAGCCAATCAAACAATTCACAACAATAGGCTCTATGCACAGCTCCACTACTTCCTGAACTTCAGGCAGCTCTTTTGTTTCCTGTCTTTTTCTACTGGATGAACTAATTAATCCAGGTGTGTCTGACCTCAGTAATTATGGCCAGACACACCTGGATTAATCAGTTAATCTAGCAATGAAAGACAGGACACAAAAATGGCTGCCTTAAAATCAGGAAGTAGTGGAGTGGTGCATAGAGCCCATCTTCTAGGTATTTTATGAAAAAAAATTAAATAAAAATCCAGTTTAGACTCATTGATATATGATCAGTTTATTCCAACTATATAGACTGATTTACAGTCATGTTCATCAGGGGATTTAGAAAACAGAAGCACAGATCCAGGAGTATTTTCTAAAGTACACAAAAAGTCTAGATTTAAGCCTTTAAACCCTATTGTTGCAAATATGCATCAAACCATCTGTATTACTCCAACAGCCATGATAGCATGTTTGTTCTACTAATGTCAGTTGTTATATATTCAGTGCAGACAAGGGAACCTTTGGAAAGCAAGTGTTTCTGGTACGACTGCTTTCTGAGTGTGCATGTTGTCATAAACGGCTATGACTCTTTATAAATGTGACATATCTTAGCCAATCAGATCAGCTCCTGATGAGGTCACAGAAAAGAAGTGCTTCAGAGAATCAGGGTCAAATTCATAACCTGAAGTTCTTGTTTGGCTCTGGATGAGATTAAAACTCGTAATGATTTGTGTGTTTCATCAGGATCAACACCATCATGGACTGCGACCGTGTGCTTGTGATGCATGCTGGGAAGGTGGTGGAGTTTGACACGCCCGCAGCTCTCTGTCAGACGGACACATCAATCTTCCACAGACTGGTTGGTGGGCGAGGAAATTAGCCAATCAGCAGGATGGATGGAAATGTTCTGAGAAGCAGAAATCAGCTTCTCTACTTTATGCTGGACTTTTATTGAGACCTAGAAGATTTCTACTAGACTATCATCAAAAAACTGAATGACTTCATTTATGTTACTAGATGTTCTGCTGAAGAGGACATCTGGGGTTGTGTTGAAATTTTGTAATAAACACAAAAACGTTTCCTCTAAGATTACCGTCTCCTTTCTTGGAAGCCGGGCTGGAGTTGCTCTGATGTTATTACAGCATCCAGGGACCGAGGGTTACACTGCAAAAAATCTTAATCTAGATAAGTAATTTTGTCTTAAAATAAGTGCATTTGATCTTGAATTGAGGAGATACAAGAGACATTTTGCCAATGGAACAAGACAATTAACACTTCAAATATGAAAACACAATTGCATCATCTTATTTCAAGTGCATATTATCTAATTATCGTATTTAAAGAGTAAAATTACACATTCCATTGGCAAACTATCTCATTAATCTGCTCAAATTAAGGATGAATACACTTAATTCAAGAAATTTTTACTTATTTCTAGATCGTTTTTGCAGTGTAAGACTCAGGGTTCCGGCAGGTCCTTAAAAAGTCTTAAAAGGCATTAAATTCTTCAAAATAAAACTAAGGCCTTAATTGGTATTAAAATGTCTTAAATCAGTCTTTCGTAGGTCTTAATTTTTAAAACATCATAAAAACGATTATTTTTATTACGATTTATTTTTGTAATCTAAATAAAACATTAAAATTGCCTTTTTTTTTTCGTATTTAAAAAAAAAAATAACAGCTCGCCATCATTGGTTCCGTCCCGATAGCAGAAACAATAAAAGCGTTGTTGCGGCCGGGACATTTGGGAGATGCGCAATTAACTTTTTGTCTGGAAAATATGAGCAAGTGTAAATGTAACCAAAATTGGCTCCAGCCAAGAGTTTTCTCCATGGCTAAAACCAGGGAACATACATGAGGCTCAGTGGATTTTGTGCACGAAGTCATTCAAGCTCGGAACGATGGGAATTAAAGCAGTGGAGTCGCACATGCGAAGCGTCAAAATAGAGTTACTGAGAAACAGCCGGTAT